TTTTTTCTTGAAGCGGAACATTAGTATATAAGCTGGTTACATAATACGATACTAAAAATTATTTATGTAGATTAACCTCACTTATTTCTTTAACGAAGGAAAATGAATCTTTAGTGCAAAATTCTGTGTTTATTAATGGAGATCACAATTCTCTTAGAAATTTGGCTAGTTGATAATTGTAGGTACCAATAGATACAAGAGATCTGAAGTTTATGGTAGTCTCGGAGGAAGTTAACTTGTGCATCTTTGGAAGACCATAGTTACGAGCAGGATGGGATTCGGAAGGATAAATTCTGTTTTATGTGGAATCATTGAAAAAATTTTTTGCTTTTAGTTTCCTCAGAAAATTTTGAAGTTGAATTTCTCTATTTAAAGTTACATCTTTCTTAAGTTGCTTAAATTTTGTTTTATCATAAATAATTTCATAAATACCATTTACGTAAATTTCTTTATCTAATATTACAACGCCATTACATTTATCAGGTTTTAGAATAATATTCGGATTATTTAGAGTTTCTTGAGAGGGACGATAGTTGTAAATATAAGAATTTGCTAAATGGCAAAGTTCAACTTTAAGTTTTCCTGAATATTATTATTTTTCAGTTTTGTTTGAAGAGAGCGATTAATTAGTTCAAAAGAAGAGTAAATATCAGTACGTTTAAGATATTTTGGTGGAATAGAAAACTGTAAACCATTTTTAAGGATGTCTATTTCATCATCAGAGAGTTTGTACGAAAAGCGATTAGTTATGATATCTGAAACATATAAAGCATTTGTATGACCAGTTGTTAGTATTTTTAATTTCTTCCCATGTGTTTTTATAATTTTATCTTTTCTTTTTGTCTATTAGATCTTAGCGCCTTAATAAAAATAAACCAATCAAACGAAAAAATAGTCGTTTTTATGCGATCTTGTAAAGTATTATTTTCCTTACAAAATTGTAATTTTTTCTTGTTGCGTTTTTGTAATGCACTCTTTAGTAATCTTTTTCTTATAAAATGAGAATCAAATTTTAAGACGCCAGGTAAATTAAATGAAATAAATTTAGGTAAAACTCCAAAAATATTTGATGGTAATAGATATTTGATGGTAATACAATGTAAAAAATAGGATTTAAATAGTTTTCACTTCATTTTAAAAGTAAATGTATTTAAGGAGGTCAATGCAAAATATTTTAGGAGATCTACTTTTTTTTTGTTTTAATAACAGGTAGTCCTTTGACCAGGTTTTGCACTTTTTTTAGCTTTTTTTTTTGGCAGCATACATACATATATATATATATATATATATATATATATATATATATATATATATATATATATATATATATATATATATATATATATATATATATATATATATATATATATATATATATATATATATATATATATATATATATATATATATATATATATATATTTATATATATATATATATATATTTATATATATATATATATATATATATATATATATATATATATATATATATATATATATATATATATATATATATATATATATATATATATATATATATATATATATATATATATATATATATATATATATATATATATATATATATATATATGTATGTATGTATGTATGTATGTATGTACGATAAACAATGTAGCTAAATTTTTTTTTTGCTTCTAGATTCCCAAAGTCTTTTTAATTTGGGATTGTTTCACGATGATCAATGAAAACAGAACTAGCAGCATTGCATGTGGTGAAGATTACAAAGTGCTTAGTGGGAGCATAACAGGGTAGAGAGGTCATTTTAGGAGAAAGTACAAAACCAGTTTTGAAATACTAGTAAGCCAAGAAATACTAAATAAGGAGGCCAGGGAGAAAGCAAGGTTAAAAGCTGCAACTGTCAATGCAAACTTTAACTCTGATAACGATTTTATACTTGAGTCCATTTCTGGTGCTGGACTATCCAGAGCAGCCACTGTTAGGACTCCAGCCAAAAAAAAGGTCAAGAAAAAAGTAAATGTCTGGAGGCAAAACACCAACAAAGCGAGTATTCCCCAAAAGTAAATGGTCTAGGAATGATGATGAACAAATGGAAGTTGTCAATGCAATAATAAAGTGAGTAGCAAATGTCATGTTTCTTTTTTTTATTTTTTACTATTTGATCTTGAGCACTTTGACTAAAATTATACTTGTATAATTGAAATTTTATGTTTATTATCTTGAAATTTTATATTTATTTCATACAAAATAGTGCTATAAATTATTTAACATTACATCTAAAAACAAATAATATAAAGTATTGGAAGGTTACACGTAACATTAAAATACTTGTAAAGTTTTGTTATTGTTGAAAAATATTTTACTTATAGATTATTTATAGTTTGAAATATTTGAATATAAAGTTTGAAACAAATTATTGTAATATAATAAATTGTTTGAAATTTTTTCCGTGTAAGCTATTGTTCAGATATTAAATTTTGATAAATTTACTAACACCGAAGGCATGGTAGGTCAAATGGGGTAAGAAAAGGAAGTTTGGGTTTTGGGGTAAGAAAAATAAGTTTGGGTTTCATTTAAGATTTTTATTTTTTTTATTATATGATTTTGAGCACTTTGACTAAAATTATACTTGTTATAGTATATTATAAAAATATAACTTAAGAAGATGGTTGCTTCAGACTTATCATATGCTGGTAAAGCAATACCCTCAACTACGAATGGTTATCTAACTGGAAATTTGGCTTGTTTTTTCAAAAAAAGAGAGGCCAAGTTAATTTTGGAAGCTCGAAGTTAACCAACAACACTTGTTGGCTCAAAATTTTTATAAATCTTTTTATCAAGCTTTTTATAAAACGATATACTTAAAATTCTTGAAATTTTACTAGGGCTTCCATACCATGAAAAATAAGAAAACTCTATAAATCTAATTAAATTGATTTAAAATTGATTATGATCAAAAAAAATTTCATCCATATCAAGAATTTTATAACTGGGTCAAACATCATCTATTTCAATATCCTGCAATGCATTTGCAGAAAAAGCTTTGATTTTCTGATTCAAGGCTAATATTGCAATAATAGAAAAGCGTCATGTAATAGCTAAATCAAAGAGTATTCGCGAGTATGCTGCTCATGAATTCGCATGTTCAAGAATCTAAATACAAAGTAGAAAATCTGCTCCGTAATGTAGCTTTGAACAAAGAATTACCACCAAGATGAATACATTGTTGGATATTACCCATGGTCAATTGTATTGTCGCATCAGTTTAACTAAAGATAAAACGTTTCTGATGGAACTCTCTAATGGAAGCTCAAGCTTCATTCTGTAAATCTCTTGCAATAGCAGTAAAAAATAATTTTCAAATCTTAATTCCACTAATTTCTTATTTTGATGGCAGATACAACATTGGCATAAATTTCTGCCAGTTGTTGTATCTGGCTTTAATATTGGGAACTTATAAGGGATCTTAGAGATACCTAATAAGTTCCCAATATGAAGGTAGCTGAGTCCATTTATAAGTGGCCTGGTGTCAAGGTGCAAGTCTTTGATTTAACACTACTGCAATTAATACAAGAAGTCATAACGAATTAGAGAATGTTTTCTATTAAAAGTTTAATTTGAGTACAATATTTTATGTTATTTTCAAATTTCTCTGTGATATATAAATAACCTTTTTTTCAACTATTAGATTAAATATAACTCACTTTATTATGGCTGAGGTAGAGGGGACTGGTAGAATGATACCATTTAGGGGATATAGGCAACTTGTTTCCACAAATGAAAAAACTGAAAAAATGTTTATAAATGAGAAACCTTTTTTATATTTAGAATAATTTTTTATCTTCACCCCTGCCCCATCTCATCTTTGCTTTTATAAAATAGCATCTTTAGGTTGAAGTCACGAAATGGCTCACTGCTATATACAATCATATACTTGTCTTTCCCCTAATCAGTAAAACAGATGCATGCAGGTGTGAATCCAAACCATCTAGTAAGGGGAGATGGGCAGTTTTAGGTTGTTTTTTTTGGTTTGGTGGATTCAGACCATTTAAAAAATTATATGAAAAAATTATATATAGATATATATATATATAATTTTTTTAGCTTTGTTAAACTTATAGAAATACAATTTTCAAACACGAAAGTTTAGCTGTTTGTCAGGGATCGTCCATAAATTAAGTAACGTTAAATTTATTTAAAAAACTGAAGTAGGAGATCTCAAGCTCTTTTACGTGGCGATTTTCATTATACTTAATGCGTTGTTTTGATTTTTTATTTATCTAAAGGCTCTGCAAGAGAAAACTTTTGACCGTTTTTGTTTTGCTTATTAGTGAAATTTAGCGTTGCGTAATTTATGGACGATCCCTAAACTGATTTTGTTTTTAAAAATAAATTTAACTTTTCAAAATTAGTTTTGTTTTTTCAAAAAGCTAGCTTGTTCTTAGTTAGTACTTAGTTGTTTCATAATGTTTTAAATAGTTTAACAAAATTAAAAAATATAGTCAAAAAAGTTTTGTTCAAAAATTGTCGATTTTGATAATCAACTTTATATAAAATATTTTATTTACAATAAATGCAATAGCATAAATTTACAAATGCTGACTAAAATCATAGTTTTGTTTTAGTTAAAAATTAAAGAATTTTTGAAATTTGTTTCAGTATTAAGCTTATTATACATTCTTATGGTTTTCATGTTATGTCATATTACGTCAAAATTAAAAAAAAAAAATTTGATTTTAAATTTATAAAAACTTTTAAAAATAATACTTTTCAATCTATTATTTTTTAGAAATTCTTTTACTTTTTATACTTGGAAATACTTTTACTTTTAAAAGTTTGTCTAAATATACCACCGAATAAATTACATCAAGTTTTCACGGAAAATGAGTGCTCTTTTTTCCCACCAAATTACCGCCCAATATTTTGACGTTAACGTATCTATTATAGATTTGTTAAAAAGATTGACAAATGGAAAAAAATTGGAATTTTAAAAAGGTGTCTTTCTTAATATTAATTTACCTTGATAAGCTGCAAAAACAATTCCAGATCCCAAAATTGCACCGACTAACTGCGAAATCCAGTACAGAGGGAGTTTGCTCCATTTAAAGCGACCACATACGGCTAATGCTAATGTAACAGCTGGGTTTATATGTCCGCCTACAAACAACAAACTCAAGGAGAAAATTTTGAAATTGAAAAAAGGACATCTTTCATATCTCAAAATATTAATGAAAAGAAAAATACCTGATACTCCTCCAGACCAATAAATTCCATACGCAACACCTAACCCCCAGCCCCAACTAACAGCCCAATATCCACCAAACTCTTGTTTTGCTAAAACAAATTGGGCAATGCTACCAATACCAAGCACCTATTATAGATATATTTTGTAAATAAAGTAAATATATTTTGTAAATAAACATAGGTTAATAGATGGACATTTTTTTATTTTAGGATTTTATTTATTTTAATGGTCCTAATGACTTTTTTAAAAATAAAAATTGTTAATTTTTTTATTTTTTATAATAGGGGGTATTCTGGTATTACTTTGGTGAAAAACTGAAAAAAAAAAAAATATAATGTTTTTTTTTTTTTTTGGATCGTACATCGTAAAATCTAATATTAAAAATTTTTTTAAAAAAATGATAGAAACGATAAAAACGATAAAGGAATGCCTATTGCGCTGGTGATTTTTAATAACTTATTTAAATAGTTCATATGATTTTTAATTTTAAATTTGATTTAAATCATTTTCATTTTTTTTTAGATGAGCAGTTATAAAAAAATATCTTTTCATATGGTAAAAATCATTTTCGAATTTTTAGGATATGTTCATTTTCGAATTTTTAGGATATGTTCATTATTCTTATTTCTAGTGACTGAACTTAACCTAAAAAAAAATATATAAAATGTCTATTGGGCTTGGGCTAAAATGAACCTTATAACTATTTTTTTTTTTTAAATAGTGTTGTGTTAAGTCAGGCGTTTTAGATCTTTTTAATTTTTTTTTCTAATTTTAAGTTCAGTCACTAGCTCTTTTTAGACTAAAATTAAGCAAAATTTTTGCTTCAAATGTTTATTTAATCTCATGTAATGTTCTTGTAATCTCAAGATATTTATGTTCTTGTAATATAAACTTTTTAAACTTTTGTTGAAAAAATAATTTTTCTAATTAAATTTTTTTTTTTCTTAATTTTTTTTTGTGATATGTTAATATCACATAAAAATTATATTCTACAATTAAAATATAACAAAATAGAATTAATGTCAGAATGCCACCTTAACTTTTGAAGAACTCAACTTAGGTTGATTTCGCTGTTAACTAGTTTTTTGCATTTTATTTATCATTATCTTTAACAATTCTAAATCTATTTAATATTTACAATTTTACAAAGGGTACATTGATGCAAACTAAACATTGATAACTAAAATTAAACATTTTTAATTTTAAAAAGGCCAGAAATTCCACAATTTAAAATAAATCCACACACAATAATAAAAATAACCCACCCACGTAAAACATAAGAAATAAACCCACGCACACACAATATGAGTGTCCCCATCATCTCAGCTAATCCTTCTCGCACGAGCCTAGGAGTTTTCATGCCGCGAAGTTGATCCATTCTTCATTAACAAAATCTACAACCTACAACTTTAAAATGTAATTTATTACTAATGATATTTATGTCTTGATAAAAATTACAAACCAAAATAGTTAATTAAAGAAACTACTGAAAGTACCTAGAGCGCGGTTTTGTCTAATAACTCTAAATAATATGCTTTTCAAAGAGACGCAAAACACCGTTTGCAATTAAAGTTAAATTATTTTCAAGCTGTGTCAAAACCGAAATGGTAAATATGTAATTGTTCTAACAGTGTGTGCAACCAAACGGAACAAATTTTTGTTTTGAAATGCTTGAGTAATTTTAAAGGAGTGAGAACGCAAATGTTGTTTTTACTTTTTAAACGCTGCTTACCAATACGGAGTTAAAAAAAGTAGTTTCATGCTTTTAATAAAGATCATTTTTTGTACGGCAAAAGCATATTATTAAAAAATGGAATGCTGTCCGCAAGTGGTTATGACGTGTTCTTACAATTCATTATTCAATTGCAAATTTATATTGTTTTTTACACCCTTCATTTTTTGGTTTCTTTTGACTATTTTCCTGGTTTATCTTTTGACTTTCGAAACTGCGCAGTTTCGAAAGATTTTATAGCTTGATTTCCAAATGTTTAATAGGCTAAATAATAAAGTCTATACAAGTCAGATAATTACATCTTTAAAAGACAGACAATTAATCATGCAGTCATGTCAGGCAATTAATCTTATGTAGAAGTAAAACCTTAAATTTTTTAACATTAAAATTTTGTGATTTCTGAAGCTAATTTAAATAATAAAAAGTATTAATATATTTTCAAAGACTTAACTTTTAGTGAAAAAAAAAAACAACGTTTTTTCCAAAAGTACTCAATGATCAAAAAAATTTTAACCACAAGTTTACCAAATATGTTTTATCATTTTATCAAAGCTGTGTATACATTAAAACAGCTATATAATAAAAGTAAAAATACTACAAATGAATTTATTTGAACTGAGCGCACAAAGCAGAAGCTGAAGTTTCCAAAAATATTATACTTTATTATACTATCAAATCGGAGTGAAATAATTATTAGTTTCTATAATTTATTAGAATACTAAAAACTATGGGATGTTAGTCCCCAGTGCCCACTGGATCAGCAGTTTATTTTGCATTGTTTATTTTTATAACTAAGTGTTTTTTTTTCAGATTCAAAAACCGGTCCTGCAGATGATTCAAGGTTTGAATAATTTTTAGATAACTAACGGTTCTGTAATATTCAGCTCAGTTTGGGTATGCAAATTTTATTAAATTTTTTTTTGGTCTACCATTTTACCTGTTAAAGATTCAAGAATTTCATATTTTTAAAATAAAATTCGACGATGCAGAGCGTAGTATTTTTTTATATATTACAAAATTTTAATAAACGTAAATGAAATAAACAAAAAGAGATTAAAAAAATAAAATCATGTTGAAGTTTGTAACATGTTCATATGGGCTTCACGTGATTTTAAGCTTTGGCATATGAGCATGGGTTACAGGATACGGACTCTAGATTAGGGTACAGTGAACTTCATATGTTTTTGAAAAAAATAAAATTAAAGCTTAGGAAAAGGTGTATTCTTATGTAAAATTAAATTTTAAGGTAGGTTTGCTATGGACAACTTTTTGATTAGAAAACGTTTTGATACCCAAATTTTCATATTTAGACATTATTAAAATGAAATATACTTTAATTATTATAAAGTAAATTTAATCCGGTTTTATGTTTAGTTTCTCATAATAAGCGCAGTGCCAAATCAATTTTTAAAAAAATTCTTAGCTCTCCACCGTAAAGTAAAAGACATCTAAACAAGATCGTAGTCGTAGTGTAAATATTTTATTTGTTATATTATCAATTTATTCATAAATGTCGAAAGTTAAAACTAGATATTCATCCACCACTAGAATTTCTGAGTTTGTTGGACCTGGAAAAGATTTTATTCCTAGCGAGCTGCCTACAAACAGAGCAGTTATTCAAAAAGGAATTTTATTAAAAGAACAAGAAAGCATAACATGCAATTTACACCAAAATAAATATTCTAACAAAGATCTTGCTAGCGATCTAATTCCACTTGTTCTTGCTCAATGGAAAAAAGCAAGTGTTTTATTTCAACAACCAGTTATTATTGGGGAGAAATCGCTTTATTATAGAATAAAGACACTTTGGGAGAAAGTAGAAAACGTTGCATGGGGAAGAACTAAGGTAAAAGTAAAAGAAGAGCTAAAATTGAAGTTAGATAAACTAATGGACCTCATAACATGTGCTCACACAATACTTCTATGCGAGCATGATCTGTCTGGGTGTTCTTCCCCCAAAATTGTAAAAATAAAGCACATATAAATTGCACCTGTATTTATTCTAAAAAAATTCCAACTATGGAGCTCAGGTGGTTATACAGTCAAAGAATTAAGACAGGTGAAAAGTCTGACATGCAGATGGGTCATGCTGATAAGATTGAGACAATGAAACTGAGAAAAAAGTATAAGAGACAAGTCAGCAATGAAGAAGCTTACAAGAAAAAAATTAAAAAAATAGAGGAGAAACAAGCATTCTTCGAGGTATATATAATTTCTTAATAATAAATATTTTCTTTTTTCGTATAATAATAATAATAACATATATATATATATATATATATATATATATATATATATATATATATATATATATATATATATATATATATATATATATATATATATATATATATATATACATATATATACATATATATATATATATATATATATATGTGTGTGTGTGTGTGTGTGTGTGTGTGTGTGTGTGTGTGTGTGTGTGTGTGTGTGTGTGTGTGTGTGTGTGTGTGTGTATTTTGGTTTTAATTTGATTTTAGGTCGCAAAAGAAGAAGATATAGATTTAGATAAAGAACATCAAAAAAATATTTTTCCTGGCTTTCTCAATGAAAACTATAATCTAGATAATGTTAACTTAACTTTAAAACAAGACAATGAAATTAAGATTTTGGTTAAAAGGCTGCTAAAGGAAAAGTTAGGTGTCTATGCTTTCCTTGTAACACGGTTTTTAGAAAAGAAGTCAAGATATAACACAATGTCAATAAAAAACACAGCTATGGCTAGTATAAGGTAATTATATTGACTTTTGTTTTGTTGAGCAGCAACATGAGTTAATAGAAATAAATATAAACCATTCTTATTTTATAGGTTTGGGATTTCACCTGCCGCAACTGTAGCAATTGCTACAAGTTATCTTCAAGATTTAATTGAAGCAGGATTTCTCACCCCTGAGTCCTCTTACCTTACTTGTGATCCTTCTAAGTTGACGAGAGAGAGAAAAAAGGTGATGGTAGTTGCAAAGAAAAATGATAATTTAAAACTTCCGAAAGCAGATAATATTGCCATTTACTTTGATGGAAGGAAAGATTCAACAAGAGCAATGATAAATGATTCAAATAGACAGCTACATCCTATTATTATCAAAGAGCAGCACATTACTGTGACTATAGAACTTGGTGGTCGATATTTTGGCCATTTTACCCCAAATGCACCTAATCATCTAGATAAGCCAGCTAAAAAGATTGCTGAAGGTGTTTATAATTTGCTGCAATAATATAATCTTACTGAATCATGTTTAGTACTTGGAGCTGACAGTACTTCAATTAACACAGGCTGGAAAGGTGGTGCTATAACGCATCTTGAAAAGCTGTTAGGTCACAAGTGTTACTGGGCTATGCTTTATTTGAATGAATTATTTTTGTGTCACCTTATAGAAGGCATTGATGGACCAACATCATGTAGTACTGGATTTGTAGGTCCTGTGGGAAAATTTCTTCCTGATGTTAATAAAATGGAGTATATTCTTAAATTTAAAGCTCTTCCAACTGGAGAGAGCTTTGTCGACATTCCAGAAACAATATTAAAAAATATGTCAACAGATCAGAAACAATGTTACAAGCTATGTAAAGCAGTTAAGATTGGTTTAATGCCACCTAAACTTAGAGAAATTCAATGTGGCCCCTTAAGTCATGCCAGATGGCTCACTACTGGCATGAGAATAGTCTTTATGTGGACAAGGAAACACAACTTAAATGATCAAAATTCGCAAAATCTAGAAATACTTGTTGTATTTTGTTTACAATTTTACTTTAAACTTTTTTTTGACATAAAGGTCAAAAACAGACTTGAAGATGCTTCTTATCACATTCTGTCTCAAATGAGAATTCTTAGAATGCAACCTGATAGAGTAAAAGAAATTGTGTTTCCCTACATCCAGTTAGGGGCTTGGTATGCGAACCATGAAAGTATACTAATCTCTTTATTATCTAGTAATAATGCAGAAAATCGCAATTTTGCAGTTGATCAAAATTTGAAACTAAGGGGTAATGATATCCTTGGAGATATGCGAAGAAAAACACCTAAACTTAACTTTGCAGCAACTACTCTTCAAGAGCTAGTTAAATGGGAAAATGGTGTTGTAGAAGAACCTGTTTTTACTTGTTCGCTCACCAGAGATAAGTTGTTATTACTTAGATTGGTACCTTTAATAACTCCTTCGATTAAAATTCATACTCAAAGTACTGAACATGCTGTAAAACAAGTGACAGTAGCATCCATGTCAGTAGTTGGACCATATGCAAGAGATGGTTATATTAGAGCTAGAGCTCAGCATAGAGAGTTGCTACCTGTTTTTAAAACAAACAAAGAAATTTTATTAAATTTTTAACTTCAATAGATTTTTATTTGTTTTTTAATAGTGTTTTAGTAGTTCTATCAAAATATTATTGGGGTAAGATAGGGGGATAAACCACCTATTTTTTGGTGAAAGTATAAAGAACTGTTATAATCAAATTTTTTAATCATTAGAACCTCATAAAAAATTGAATACCCCCTCCTCCTCCCTCTAAAAAATGCAGAATCTGCACTGCAGATAGGATCCATGCAAGATAATGATTTTAAAAAGTATCTAAAAAACTTTCAATAATCTAAAAATATTATTTGCATTTAATATTTTATCGCAATGAAAATGAAAATATAAAATACAATGAAGGACATGTGACAAATTAGATTTTACTAATTTTTGCTATTTCTAAAAGTCCATATTTGGGTATCAAAACTTTTTCCGATCAAAATTTTTTTTAAGAAACCCTCTTTAAAATTTGATTTTACATAAAAGTACACCTTTTCCTAAGCTTTTAGAAGAAGAAAAAAATTCGCTGTACCCTACTCTAGATGGGTCACATGTAAGCCAACCTATTTAACTAATTTGACGGAATATTCGGTTTTGTATAGATCACGGAAAATTTCGTCAAGTGTATTTATTGAAAAAAGAGTTTTTAGCTGAGATATAAGGCGTCAGGCATAACTGTCCCGTTATGCCCCGCTGTCCCGATATGCCCCGCTCTACCTTAAAATAATGTTAAGATGTCTACTAAAAAAAACATTAAATAAACAAGTAAATAATAAATTAATTCAATGGAACTTTGCATTAATTTTTATGCTAACTTAACAAATAAGAAACAACATATAGTTCAGGTAGATTTTGCTTTCAGTTTTATTCCCCGTAGTAAAACTTTAATATCTTAAATTGAAAAGTATGACTATAAAAAATAGAGGATTTTTTTCATAGGTTTAACGTTCGTGTTTCCACCTTTTGGGGTTTGGGGTTAATAATGCCATTTTGATGTTAGATGATATTTCAAAAAATTGATTTTTACAACTAAATGCCCTCTAAAACGTTAACCAGTTTGCAGATGATGAATTTTTAATATTATGCTAAAAATAATTTTTTTTCAAAAATTTTTTTTGATAAAACATTTTAAAATATTGTGCTTCATTATTTAGAAAAAAAATTAATTTTAGAAAAACTAAAATGCATTAAAAGTATCAAATGCATCAGTAAGTTTGTGAAAAACAAAATTTGCGTGTTTTTTTTTAAGCGATACAGGGACAAAAGATTTATCTTGAACTCTTGCGAATTTGCTTTATCTATAAAAAGTTTATATTTTTCAGACAGTATTTTTTTATCCTCTTTTAGCATCTAGTTTTTTTCTTTTAGAAAAAAAAAATTTGAAAGTAAACTTTTTGAGTATTATTAATTTCAGTAAAGTGACTTTTTGTGGGGCATATTGGGACAATAAAAGTATTTATATAATTGAGTATATTACTACCATTTCGCAATGCTGTTTGCAGTTTAATGATTTTATTTTTAATCTAAAATATTGTTTTTTTTTATTTATTTAGAAAATCAGTTTTAGAATAAATTCAAAGAAATTCTTATTTTTATAACTTAACTTCGATTATTAATAGTGTTTAATGTAAACAAAGAAGGTAAGAAATTATATAAGAAAGATCAATCATCCAAAACTGAATGAAATTCAGTTTTAGTGTGAGTAAACAGAAACTTAGAACTAAATAAAAAAAATTAAATATGCCATATGTATCTAAATAATATACATATGGCATATTTAAGTTTGCTCTACATTGGCATATTGGTAATAAGCCAGCTCTCAATAAGAAATGTTGCCGAACAGTTTCAGGATATTTTTTGTGTGACTTATGTGATCCATAAAATTTTTTTTTTAATTTCAAATTTAGTAGCTGTTACCAAATTAATCATATATAGGTTAGAGTAGAGCGGATGTATTTTATAATAAAACACACACAAAAAAGTGTATTTATTTCTTATTTGTGTGTTTATTTCTTTTTTGTGGTGTATGTGTGTATGGGCGTGTAGTTTCTATGTTACTTTTTTGAAAGTTTAATGGCTAAACATATTTAGGCAATAGATAGCTTTCATTTTTTATCATTTTTAAAGCTTTAAAATTGACAAATAACTGATACTTTTTAACTGTCCCGATTTGCCCCACCCACTAAAGTGCAGCCCTGGCGCAGTGATTAGAGCGCATGCTATATAAGTAGGAGATCCAGGTTCGAAACGAGCTCTGGAAATATTTTTGCGTCACGGTAAGGAAGGAGGCGTAAACTTCCTGGTTAAATGCACTTCCGTGGTGCTCTGTGACAAGACCTATAGGTCTTCTTGGGACACCTAAATAACAAAAAAAAAAAACTTGCAAAATGTATAAGTTTTGCTAGTCTAGAGTTTCGTTACTTTGGTTGTCATAACTTACTTTTAGAATTTTTTTTTTATTTTTTTATTTTCTTATATCAATGAACTTTAAGAAATTTATAAAAAAACTCTGTTAGCTATGATTAGTTTATCAACAACTAGCAGTTGTTTCTTAAGTGTCCCTATATGCCCCGCTCTACCCTACTTTTAACCTATATAATCTAACTTTTTTTGGATTTAGAAGAATATAAACACATTTAATGTCAATAAAAACATTTATATATTCATTTGAGAACTCCAAGGTTCGGAATTAATTTAAAGAGAATTACTGTGTTGTAATCTTTAATGATTGTGAAACAAAAAATTATTAAATTTATTCAATTGTGGTGTAGCAACTATAACACTCTAGAAAACACATTTTTTTTAAAGTAATTATTTAAAAACCCTTGCAAATTGAAACATTTTTTTCAGTCGATGACTGAAAAAAATGTTTCAATTTACAATGTTATCAAAGACTGAAATGCGATGTTATCAAAAACTGGAATAAAATTCAATATCGTATAGAAGTGTTAGTTTCAAACATAAGTCACTAGCACAAATCATATATAATATTAAATTGTGGCTTAGAATCCCGATAATACGATAAAGTAATGATGGTAAACTTTTATTTTTATTTTTTTTGTCAAATACTGGAAAACATGATAAATATCTTTTAGTCTTTAACACCCTACCCCCTCTCCATTTTACCCCCTCTCCATTATACCCCCTCTCAATTCTACACCGTCTCCGTTTTCAGTGTTTTGGTTTTAAAATTTTGTACATTTATCTACTCTATTTCCGTGTCAGCATAAAAAAGAAAAAATTTCAAAAACATAACATTTATCATGCGATTCTTGTGGTTATCTTAAAACAGTTATGAAAATTATTCCCAAAGAGTTATTTAAGGAACATAACTCTTCAAAAATTGGAGGGGCCGTTGATGATTGGGTGGTATATATATATTTATATATATATGTATATATATACATATATATATAAATATATATATATATATATATATATATATATATATATATATATATATATATATATATATATATATATATATATATATATATATATATATATATATATATATATATATATATATATATATATATATATATATATATATATATGTACATATATATATATATATATATATATATATATATATATATATATATATATATTTTTTTTTTTTTTTTTTTATATATATATATATATATAAAAAAAAATTAACACTGCATCTAATTCTTTTTTATACCTCTCAATGATATTAAAACTGTTTTGGTTATGTTTTAAGGGTTAGTTTAAGTGATGTAGATGTAGAAATTGGATGATTTCACAATTAACCATTATTTCAAATTTTTTTTGTTCATCGTCAGCTTTTAACTAATGGGTTACATTTCAATATTTAATCAGTAGAAGATCAAAAAGATTTAAAAAGTATTTACAATAATTTTTCTTGTTCTATAGGGTCAAATTTTAACATGAAATGCAAAGGAAAAACCACGTTTATCAGGAAAATGGAGATTTCTGTCTTCTCAGTAAAATAGTGAACATCTGGAGTTTCTTTGGTTTTAAAAACTATATTATTGGAGAGGATAAAATATTATCAAAATATGTGAAATTTCGCAAAAAATGGGTATCAATAACCAAGAGAAAGTTGTTAATTTGGAAAAAGGATACCAAAGAAAAGTTAGTTGAAGAGTTTCAATCAATCATTAAGACTCTTATAGATATTGGAAAAAAAAATTAAAGAACTTATACAACTCAGTCAAGATATGCCAAGAAACAAAGAGAGTAAAAAGGAAGATTTAGCATTTTTTGAATATCAGAAAAGTATACAGATTATAAGAAAAAAATGTCAATAGAAGCCAATGAAGATACTCAATAGAAGCCAATGAAGATACTCAATAGAAGCCAATGAAGATAATCAATAGAAGCCAATGAAGATACTCAATAGAAGCCAATGAAGATACTCAATAGAAGCCAATGAAGATACTCAATAGAAGCCAATGAAGATACTCAATAGAAGCCAATGAAGATACTCAATAGAAGCCAATGAAGATACTCAATAGAAGCCAATGAAGATACTCAATAGAAGCCAATGAAGATACTCAATAGAAGCCAATGAAGATACTCAATAGAAGCCAATGAAGATACTCAATAGAAGCCAATGAAGATACTCAATAGAAGCCAATGAAGATACTCAATAGAAGCCAATGAAGATACTCAATAGAAGCCAATGAAGATACTCAATAGAAGCCAATGAAGATACTCAATAGAAGCCAATGAAGATACTCAATAATGACGAGAATTACGATTACTTAGATTTAGAATCCTCAATTAAAAAAAGCAGATGGAATTTATTCATATGAGTTAAAATCGATATCAGAATCATGTAATATTTATAAAAAAAAATTTAAATTGAATATTTTACATGCATACTCTATTTCTTTATAGAATTAACTGTCAATATACTTTTCAATTTTCATTTTTTGTTAATATCATTGTAAATTTTTCAAATAATTTTATTAATAATACAAATTTTAACATATTACAAATTTAGCGGCAGGACTTCTAGAAGATCATGAGGAAGTATAAAATAATATAAATACGTAATATTATAATGAAGTTATA